CTTTACATTTGTAGAATGCTACCCATTCGTATCACATATCCCCAGATAGCCTGGATCTGAGTGCATATTATTGGCGAATAGCGCTCAGATCCCATACGCATAGTTCAATCGCCATGGAGTCAGTCTATTACAGTTCTTCGGTATGCGATTGACTCCATGGGAAGGCTTTCTGGGTTAAGTCCATTCGTGCATTTAAACCTCCCGAACGGCCGGTGTTCGCACACTTCTGTCGATTGAGAAGGGAGGTCGACGGCTTTAGCGGTGTTCGGTTGAAAAAGTGTCCGTTTTCAGTTCCATGAAATCAATGCCGAACACCGCTGGTCTTCCGCATGGTTTAAAATGGCCGCCGCCTCGTGGTTGACATACGAACGACGATCACGCTGTATTCGGTTTTAATTGAGAAGTGTCTGTGGTTAACCGCAACGTTCTAATTGGGATCAATAGGTTAACCAGCAGCAGACTTCTCTTCTGGGTGGCCGTCCGTTCGGTAGTTTTGTTCGGCAGAAAAGTCAATTAAACGAACAGGGGCATACAAACAGGAAATTCCACGAAAATGCAAAACAGACGAACCAGCAATCCCAGTCTATACGGATGGATCTGTCACACCTGGTATCTCGCAATCCGTTGACCACTCTGCCATTCAGCTTGACAGTCTGTTGGTGTTGCTGACGGTTGTCCTGATGGGCGGCTTGGACAGGATCTGCCTTATGTAAGATGCCCCAAAATTCCTCCTGCTCGATACAGTGAGCAGCAGGCTGGGGTGGACGTTGATTCCCGCCGGCCGGTCTTCTCCACGACTGTGCCTGGTTGGCGTTGTTCAGTGGGCATTCTGGTCTCTTGTGCCCTAACTGTTTACATCCAAAACACTGGATGGGCTGAGAGTAATCCCGGGCGTTGAACCGGGATGGCTGTGTGTAATTGTTAGCTGGCGATAGTGTTGGAGTGCGGTGCACCGGCGGTTGGTAAACGGTAGGGGTTGGAGGTGCTTCTGGTCTGTACTCCACTCTGGCAGGGACTTTAGTTACTGTATTGTCCAGTTTACGTGCATCCGTATACTCCTCTACCAGACGGGCAGCTTCTGGCAGAGTGGAGGGATTTCGGTCTCGGACCCACTCTCTAACTCCTGCAGGCAATCTGTCAAAGCAGTGTTCCAGCAGAAACACCTGCAGCACCTCTTCCCCGGTTACGGCCTGGCACCCCGCCATCCAGTGGGCTGCTGTGCGGTGTACTCGGCATGCCCACTCCACGTAGGAGTCGCCAGATTGTTTGCTTGTTTCCCAGAACCACCGCCGGTATGCCTATGCGTACCTGGCCAAAAGGGCATTATTCACTGTCCGGTAACTGGTGATCTCTTCTTCTGGAATGGCCCGAAAAGCTTCGCTGTCCCGGCTGGATAACTTCCCAGAGAGGAAGGAAGGAATGAGATCCCATTCGTCTGCGGGTACCTGGTGTAGGGCACACTGTCTTCATCCAGGAACCCTTTTTCTTCCAATATTATTATTGGGTACCTCTGCTGCTGCAGCTTCTCTTTCCTGGAGCACTTGATGAGCCATCACTGCTGCTTGCACACGTTCCGCTGTAGGGTTGGGGCCAAAGTGTGCCAGCCTTATCTGGACTGCCCGGTTGAATTGTATTTCCTCGGGTGTCAGATCCAGAATGCTGGGCACATTAGCTCTCTCCATTCCTTGTGCTGCATCTATTTCCAGTAGCAAGGCAATAATCTCCCGTTTTTTAAGATAACTTGCTGACCGTCCTCGGCGTTCTAGTATGTCCTTGTGACAAGAGAAATCTCGCCACATTGCATTGGAGAAGCCTGGTTGCTCGCCTGTTGCCTTTAGACTATGGCCCCATGTTAAAAGACATCTTTTTTACCTGCAGAAAAGATTTATTCGCTCTTTTCTGCCTGGTGTTCGGTAGATTCAATCTACCATACAACCGCACGAATGACTGGACCACCTGGGAGCTGGAGTGTGCCGGCAATTAGCCTCCCTGAAGCTGCGGTTAACTGCAGCTTAATTGACGAATGCTGGGTGGCCGCCATTCGTATCACAAACACGAGGTCGCGGCCATTTTAAACATGCGAATGCACAGCGGTGTTCGACGCTTAATTCATGGAACTGAAATCGGACACAGTTTTGCGTGAATGTGTTATACCCCAGATAGGAATCCCATGGAGCTCATTCGCATGAAACTGACTGTGTAAAGACTTTGGCTCCATAGCGATTAAACTGTATTCGTGTGGTCTGAGCGCCATTTGCTTAATAATGTGCGCTCAGACCTGAGCTATCTGGGGATATGTTAAATGTATGCTTTTAATGTTATGTGTCTCACACAGTGTATTTTAATAGTAATTCGTGTGTTAGTATCCCCACGTGCATAATGGCGATTTGCCTTTGTCTTGGGATATAATTGAATTACTTCTCAATTATCTCCAAGGCAGAGGGGAGGAAGCCAGGATGCATTGTGGGAATATAATGTGACTGTGTGTCCTATTTGTCTACTTGTCTGTCTTTTGTCACGGTCTCCCGTTTGGTCCCTTAGGGGAGTGTCCACCAGGTGGGAGACCTGCATAAATACTGGGCAGGTAGCCCTCATTAAACAGACCACTGCTTGACCCTCAACACGGAGCCTTGTCTCGTCTTTGGGGGATTTACTGAATGCTGATAGAGACTGATTGCTAGGAGTGTAAGCCGCTTGGATGCTTTTCCTATTCGTCTGCTAGCAGCGATTCGTATGGTTCCTGTTCGTGTGTTTGGAGTGCTATATTGGATGCCGTTAGGGAGTTTGGAGCATTCACTTATTGGCGGTTCGTGTGTTTGGTGCTCTACAATAGCTGTGCCTGCATCTCTGGAAAGGGGGACGATCGCCTAAATGGTTTTTACCCCTTGTGTGCAAAACGGTCCGTTACAGTCCTTAAGGGTAGCACGCCATAATTCCTCATACTCCATTTCCTCCACCAAACTGGGTTGTGTAGCTGACCTTCTGGGCGGTGGGACTCATCACACCGCTGCCACCAATTGTTAAGACACCCCTGGCACAAAGGCGTGAAATCACCGTTTAGTTAAGCTTCCCATTTCTCAATAATGCAGGCTCAATTTGTGTATACCTTAACCGCACGAAGTGAAGCCAGGGTAATGTGCCAATCTCCCGAACGGGACCCGTATGGGTTCTCCAAACTCTCGAACAATAAATCCACGAATCGCCACTAACAGCCGAACCAATATAATCTCCAAACGGCTTACGTTTCCAGCAATAAGTCGCTAACCATGTGTAGTAAATCCCCCCCCAATAACGAGACCAAGCTCCGCATTGAGGGTAAAACAAGAACTGGCTTTACTGTGGGCTACCCGCCCGTATTTATGCAGGTCTCCCATCTGGTGGACACTCCCCTAGGGTACCAAATGGGAGACTGTAGTTACAGACAGACATGTAGCACTTTAGGACATACAGGCACAGAATATTCCCAGTCGACGGCTTCAGCGGTGTTCGGTTGAAAATGTGTCAGTTTTCAGTTC